GGCTCGCAGCCCCTCTGGGACGTCATTTGTCTGTCCAACAGCGTGAGAGAAGCAGCACCAATGAACTAATCTGTCTTGTCTTCTTTATAAGGCTTTTGAGACAAAGTTAACAACCTTAAACATCTGAACAGCAGAATTTTTCTGTACAGTAGTATAGCATTAACAATGTGATCTGTTAATGAGACATCTGTTTGTCAGGACTCTGTGGAGGAACTCGATGGCAGCGATCACACACCGACACCTCAGTCTGAACACACACACACAGTGCAGGAGCTGAGGGCCGAGCTGGATAAATCTCAGAGACACACACACAGACTGAGACAGAAGCTGGACCGGACCAGAAACAGGACCAGAAACAGGACCCGGACCAGAGATGGAGGACGGTGGTGCTTCATACCTCCAGGACACAGTGTGAGACACACAGTTGGACTGATATTTATCTGAGCTACATGCTAATTTAGAGTTCTTGCTGCTTATTTCTGCCTGAGAAATGTAAAGTGAACGATTAAAGAGACAAACTGACGAAGCCGGTCCCAAACCAGTTCTTTGTGTTTGAACAGCCAAAGAACCAGCAATGTATTTATTAGCTGTTTAGCGAGCTACTAATGTCTGGATCGCTTTGATATCTCATATGAATGTTACAAATGTCAAATGTAACTTTGATATGAATTGAAAAAACAACAAAACTAAAGGAAACCAGTTCAAGATCCGGTTCTTAGAAGGTTCTCAAGTTGAACCAAGTCTGAACCGACTGTAGCACCAGAACCAGAACTAGGTTTATCTAATTCATAAGACATTGTACTTCATGTTGTTGTTCTTTTGGTCTGGAGCATCATTGGAACTAAACCTTTCTCCCTCTCAGGCTCACAGTCTGGGCTCTCTGGGGACTCAGGACTCTGGTTTGGGGCTGCATTACCTGAGTACTCCAGACAGGGGGCGGCAGCAGGACCGACCACCCACCGGAGGAGGGTACTGGGTCTACATCCCCCCCACAAACAGCGACTCTGACACAGGTACACACACATTTCATAACAGCTGCAATATGTTGAGGTGTGACTGCAGATGTCCCCTGAGCTGTGAACTGTCTCCAGCAGAGTGGAGGGACAGCGGAGGAGGCAGCGACGCTGACGGGACTCCTCCCCCAGCTGCACCGGCCTCTGCTGGACTCTCTGACACGCCTCTGGTTGGACCTGCCTGGCTGCTCTGTGGTCCTCCAGCAGGAGGCGCTGCACTGCACTGTAACATCCCAGAGCACAGAGACACGGTCAGTGGCAGAGACATACCAACCTGCTGCAGGGAAACTGTGAGAGCCAATTAGGTCATCAGAATCAACACACAATCACCTCAATGGTTTTAAGAATTAATGAAGTTCACATCACTTGTGTTCAGTCTCTCTTTTAAATGTGTTTTGGGGATAAATGAGTATTGATTATGGTGTTACAACAGTACTGATACCTTCATAGCCTTCATGTGTGACAGCATGGACAGAAAATAGTTCTTATATTGCGTGTGTGTGTGTGTGAGCAGGTAGACAGGTGTGTGTGTGAGTGTGTGCACAAAGAAGCAGAGAGTCTGCAGGAAGAGAAGAAGAAACTGCGACAGGAAACCAAACAGCTACGACACACACTGAGACGACACAGGTAACACACACACACACACACAAATCAGTTATTAAAATATTTTATATCCATATAACTGATTATTAATGCTAATTATGCTAATTGGCCAACATATGTAAGTTAGCATCTGTCAGTTTCTAAATGTTGGAGACCCAGACTGAACATTTCTAACATTAAAGTTTATACCCAACCAGCTGTAGACCACAGTCTGGGAGGTTTGTTCAGTGATCTCACAGTGTGTGTGTGTGTGTGTGTGTGTGTGCAGGAGTGTGGTGCAGGTGTGTGATGAGGTGGAGTGTGTGGAGAAAACTTTGCTGAAGAGACGAGCTGAACTCCGGAAGGCTGACAGACTGCTGCTGGAGGTTCAGAGCTGCATACACGCTTCCAGAGACAAGGTACACACTGTCTCACTGTCTCACTGCACACACCGCGTCACTGGTTCGATCCCGTCTCTCCTCCTGTCTCCTCCAGGCCACTTCAGCTCAGCAGGAGGCCGACGTGTTACAGCGCTGCGTTCAGGACGGCACCTCCCGTCTGCAGGAGGCCACACAGCACATCAGGTAAACCCCCACAGGCCGACCTCTGACCTCCACTCTCAGATAACAGCATGTGACTCTTCATCATTGTATTGACTGCCCTTCAGAGAGCTGCAGGAAGAGGTGGAGGAGCTGAGGAGGAGGAGACAGGAGGAGGAGCGGACTCTGAGGGAGGTGGAGGAGACAGTGAAGAGCAGAGATCAGAAATTACAACAACTGGACACAGAAATGCACTCAGCTACAGACAGGTACAGATAAAGTTAGTTCAGGTCAGTTTAAATCACAATCATACATATTGTTGGTGATAATTTCCCTTTATCTGTTCCTTAAACTCCTGCAGTGTTCTTTCATTTTCATATCTCAGATAAAAAGTGATTAAGCAGCGAGTTATATCAGACTGCCTCACAGTGAAAAGCCTCCAGCTGCTATTAATAGGTGCATCACATGACACACAATTTCTCCTTATTGTGTGGTCTAAATAACAACCTGGTGTGTGGTTGTGTGTGTGTGTGTGTGTGTGTGTGTGTGTGCAGATTAGCTGATGTGCTGTCAGACCTTCAGGAGTCTCAGAAGCGTTTAGAGTCACTCAACAATCAGGTAAAGTCACAGCTTCATCAGTTTCAGTTGAGTGAATATACTCACCGGTAACGCCACAGTCTTACAAAACTCTGCTCATTATAATAATAATAATAATAATAATGTTACACCATGCAGCTAATATAGAGAATATTTTCTTGGTTTAAATGGTTCATGAAGACTTTCTGCTCACACACTTTACTGAACTGTGTCAATATTCTGTCTCTTCAGGTTAGTTTATGTGCACACAGAGAAATAGGGCTGTAAGGTACGAAGAAGGTCCTTAAAGTGATAACTGTGGACCTTTGTTTAATGTTAAAGCTACAAAGACATGGCTGACAGAACTTTTAACAAGCTTAAGGTACAGGAAACTGTTACGGCAAATCAGTGATCACAAAACCTTGATTTAAATAGAGAGAGTCGGGTTTATTGAATAAAAGAGGCTACTAGTAAATTTCCTGTGTGTCCTGGGAATAACTTCATTAGTAAAGAACTCCTTCCTTCAGCGTCTACTGGCAAGTTCACAATTAATCTGTTTGTGTGATTTTGTTCATTTAATTAAGTAGCTGATTGTCAGTGGAGCAGAGAAATGCTTCTACAGCCATAACCATTACTCCCAGTTTTATTTTATTTAAGTATTGTTACTGTTTTATTGTTGATCTGTTCTCTCATTCTTTGTATTCCTGCATGGGGACTCATTTTTATGTATTTATTTAACTTGATTTAATGCCGTGGTCGTCCCTTATACCCTGCAGAGTTTAAAACTTTATTTTTAGGCCGTTATAGCATTCACTTGTTATGGATCCTTCCTCTCAGTGAACCTTCCCTGAATAAATAAAGGTTAAAAAAAAAACAACTGTACCAGGATATAAATGTACATTTTCGTGGTAGCGGTAGAGTATGTACCATGTTTAAAGGTACAGTGCTTGTACACTGTTAGGGTTCATTAATTTCTTAGTGTGTAGTAATCATTGTCATAAGACTTTGATCGGGTCAGAGACAGTTAATAGAGACAGGCTGCAAATAGCTCGTGCCAGTATCATAATGATTATAACAGACTGTGATTCACAGCAACAGGACAACAGTCAGAGGAGCCAGACAGAGGAAGCAGAGGTTTAACTGTAACTGAAAATTATGGGATGTCAGAAAGACTCTGTTCCTCCCTGCAGGTGGAGCAGCAGGAGCAGAGGTTGCTGCAGAGGAAGGAGGAGCATCTAACAGCTGTGAACAGAGTGGAGGAGGTCAGAGAGGAGGAGAGACGCCTGCAGGACACAGTCAGGGTGAGCACACAGTTATTTGTGCCACATTACTGAAATATAAAATCATCTTACATTAAAACTATTGATGCTCTTTTACCTGAAATCTGCTTTAAGAAAAACAGATCCGACAGCCAAACAGTGGAGGAAAAAATGACAAACATGAAACCAGATGATAAAAATCTCAAAGCTGCAGTGAAGCAAACTGAGGAACAGTGATCAGCTGATTTCACTCTCTAACAGAGCATTCAATGAGAGATATCTGCAACATCCTGGTGTTAAAGTTTCCATTAAGAACCAGGTGTTGACCTGCTGTCTGTGTGTTTGTGAAGGAGCTGTTGGAGCAGCAGGAGGCGCTGCTGAGTGAGAAGAGGTCCACAGTGTGCGCTCTGAGAGAGGACGAGCAGAGACTGATCACAGTGCAGTCTGATCTCAACACACACAGAACAGGTAACACACACACACCTGCACTGACTGAACATGTTCACCTCGTTATCCAATCAGCAGCTGTTTATTGAGCTGCAGTTCCTCTAACGTCCACTAATCAAACTCTGACTTTCACAAATCTGTCCCAGAGCACTTTATCTTCTGTACAATATACGACACCCTCCATCCTCAGTTATTCATTATCCATAAAATATGTTTTTTGAAGGAAGAAAACAACATTCAGAATCCTGAAAACTGCTGTTTTATATGTTTGACTCGTTTCTGTCTCAGTGAGTCGACAGCCTCACGCCATAGCTCAACGTGTGTGTGTTCAGAGCTCAAACAGGTCCTCCAGGAGTTGCTTGTAGAGCAGCAGGCGCTGGAGGAAGTGAAAACCAAACGCTCCCAGAGTCTCCAGCGGCTCCGCAAGAAGCAGGATCAGCTGGACAGGATACAGGTCGAGGTGGACAGGATGAGGGACGAGTTGGACGGGACCCAGGATGAAGTGGACAGGAAGAGAGACGAGCTGGAAAGGAAGCAGGAGGAAGTGGACAAGAAGAGGGACGAGTTGGACAGAATGAAGGAGGAAGTGGACAGGAAGAGGGAAGAGCTGGCTGAGCTGCAACAGGAAGTTGAGTCCCACAGGAAGCAGGCAGAGATTTGTCTGAATGAGACAAAACAACAACGAACAGAACTGCAGGTCAGTGGAAAATATTTAACACAGAACTCACACTGACAATGAAGGAACTGTTTCCAGTTTATTCTGTGTTCATTAGGAAATATTTCCTTTTGTAACCATTCAACATTTTTCTAAAAATGAAAACTCTAAAAAGTGAAGATAATGAAACTGAACACACCAAACTCCAACATCTGAGTCTCACGTTTTACCTGCACTGTCAGCAGCCCTGCAGGAGAGACACGCTGTGGTGCATTGTGGGATTTTATAACTAAACTTTATGAGCAGGACTCACACTTGTACTTCCTCTGACTGTGTGAAATCTGATGTTTTCAGTACACAGATGAAAATAAAAGATATTAATGCCAAAGAAAGTAAAGGTGTGCGTCCTGCCAACACTCTGGGAAATAAATGAATGTGTAACGTTTGATGGATTTACAAGAAGACCCGAATAATGAAGAATCTGTTACTGTTACTGAGAGTTTCACAAAGTTTCTCCTCACTCAATAACTCTCAAAATTGTGAGATTTTTTTAATGGAGTCTGGTGATATTGTGGTTACTGGTTCATCAGTTTAAGAGAGTTCCCAAACGTCTGCTGCTGATCTGAAACATGATCCAATCCGACAGTTTCTGTGTTCTTACAGGATGTCAGTGAGTATGCGGTCCTTCAATGTGGACTCAGACCACCTCTGGAAGTGGTCTGATCCAATCCCCCAAGACAAATGTTAATACCAAGTGTAAACAGGTTCTTTGAGTTGGTGCACATTACATCAGCTAAACATGCAAAAGTATAAAATTACAATAGGCACTTTGACCATGTAGCTAATGAATTAAACTGATAAATAAGTATTTACTTGGTTTAAATGGTTCTCTGTTGGTTCTTCCCATCAAACGGCTCCTCACACACTTAACTTATATTTTATCAAGTTATTTATTATGTGTCGTTATAATGTAATCACTGTAATAAGACTTAAAAGCCTCGACTGTCTGTGCTGTTAAACTGTAACAGAGATAATAAAGAGTGACATCAGATAGTATAAAAGAAAACTGGTTATGACCTCAACCCCTCCCACAGTGCAGGGGATCTGCATGCTCTAACTTTATGTTCCACATTACAACAGAACATAGAAACACAAACACCCCTACACTCATTACAACATGGTATCTCCCGGAACCTTTGCATTGGTGCTCAGGTACCCTGGGGACTCTTTTAGCCAGAACACCCTGGAGAGGAAACAAGGTGAGTGACCTAAACACAAACATTAGATTATTGGTCGACTCCACAATCAATAATCAATCATTTTACCACAATGAGCACGTTATGTTCAGGTCACCAAACAGACTGAGTATGATTGTGTTTACATGTTTGTGTTTACTTCAGTCATTCCCTGCTGAGAGCACAAAATCCCCAAACACACAAATACACACTGTCTGTGCTTTATTTCTTTTACCAGTGCTGTTTACTCATTATCATCAACAACTGTTGGTATTTAACCACTTTATAGTAACGGAGCTCTCTGACATCCAATGGAAACCCGGAGCAGCTTCATAACGGCAACGTCACAGTTTATGATACTGAATGTCCTCTGAGGACTCACAGAGTCTCTTAACTGGTGTTATCAGTCTGTTGGAGACCTGATGAGCTGAACATGAAGTCTGCCTCCGTTCCAGCTTTCTTTTACATGAGTCACATTTTATTGGTTGTACAGTTTCACAGTGGCTCAATATAATGTTACAACTCTGCTGCATCTTCAGGTTATGAGAACTTTTACTTTTTTTAAAGAAACAAAGCAGAAAAAATGTGTGTTTGTTATGTTTTGTGTGCAGGAGCTGCAGGAGGAGCTGAGCAGGAGGAGGGAGGAGAGGAGCAGCATAAAGGAGCAGTGTAAACACCTGGAGGCCCGACGGAGGCACGCTGACAGGTACACACCAAATATATGAAACAGTTTCACTGTTAAAGCTGCTGCACTACAGCCCAGCAAACACTCATTGTACCTGAACGCAACATTAAACTCAACCAAAACGTCTGTTTGTGTTTCCAACAATCACAAATCCTCATATGTAACCTTTAAAAATACAGTTTATTCTAATATTCAAATAACTTATGATGCTCCAGAACAGATTATAAAAACCTGAAATAAACATATTATCAGTTATTAGATCTAATATGTGTGTGTGTGTGTGTTGTGTGTGTGGTGTGTGGTTGTGTGTGGTTGGTGGTGTCCGTGTTGTGGCGGTCCTGTGTGTGTCTGTTGTGGTGTTGTGTGTGTGGTGGTGTGTCTGCGTGTGTGTCCCTGTGTTGTCTGTGTGTGTCTGTGTGTCTGTCAGGAGTCTGTCAGTGGTGGAGGCGGAGCTTGCTAAACAGACGGAGGAGCACAACCACGCCCAACGTCTCAAACAGGAAGTGGTCAGAGATACAGCAGCCACTCAGGAGCAGCTTAACGGTATGACATCATCAGTGCGACACAGAGAATATACTGTGATACACATCTAGAAGACCCAACAGAGTATGTAAACACTAACAGCTGTTACAGGGTGAATATCAGTGTGTGTGTGTCTGCTGGTGGTGAAACATTGAATAACTTTATTAGAACAGACACACATGAACAACTGGAGTTTGTGTTGTAGAGAACTCAGAGCTGCTGACTCTGCTCAGTGAACGAGTGGAGGAGAGGAAGAAACAGCTGATCACCCTGGAGCAGGTAACACACACACACACACACACCACACTACACACACACACACAAACAATGTTTATACACAAAGAAATAAATCATTTAATGTGTAATGTTTGCCAAATTTACAACAAAGGCTCAATTAATGAACAATCTGTCGTAGGCGGGGTTTCTGGTGATATTGTTGTGAACCTCATTAGCACACTGATAAAACAATGTGGTCACATGGTCTGAGAGATTATTTTAACTTTTTCCTGTTTGTTTTTTTTTATTTCCAACAATAATTCATTATTTGTTGAAAAGTACCGTATGTATGAATGAATGATCCTTTCTCAGAGGGTGAGATTAAACCTTCAATATTCCAACACTGAGTTTGTCTCCCATGTGTTATAAATAAAGTTGGTTTAAAAAGGAAAGACCCAGGTGGAGGCACAGTTGGACTCTCAGCACTGTGGTTCCTCCACAGGGGGACAGAGTTCAGGGACGGACAGGACGTCTTCTGAAGTGTTTGTGTTTGCAGGAGCTGAGTGAGTCTCGTCAGCAGCAGCAACAGAGAACAGAAACACTGCAGGAGCTGGACACACACATACAGCACAGACAGAGTAACCACACACACCACACACACAACACAGACATAATGCCACAGACAGGTAAACACACACACACACACACACACACACACACACACACACACACATACAGCACAGACAGGTAACACACACACACACACACACACATACAGCACAGACAGGTAACACACACACACACACACACAGTGAACAGTAAATTACAACCTTTATCGTTTATGTAATGTCTTCATGTTTGTTGTTATTGTCACATAGAAACAGAAACTCTGTCAGTCTGTATAAAGATTGAATGAAAGAAACTTTTTATTAAATGTATAAATTGTTGTCCATTATTTTTTACTAATTGATGGATCAATACTCTCTGATTGTCTCTGTCAGGCGCTGTGTGTCGGACTGGAGGATGTTAAAGCTGCAGTGTGTCAGTTGGAGGACAGGGGGCGCCGTCTGCAGCTCAACCAGCTCAGTCAGTCCACACACAAACCTCTCGATCAATAGTTCACTATTTCCTGATAAATGCTCCTCATTGATTCTAAATTCACAAAAAATCTAAATGTTTGATTGATCAGAGGACGAGCTGCTGGAGGGACAGAAACAGCTGCTCCACAAGGAGGAGGGGCTACAGCGAAAGGAGGAGGAGCTACATCTGAGAGAGGAGGAGCTTAACCGGAAAGAGGAGGAGCTACAGCAGAAACGTGAGGAGCTTCGTGTGAAAGACGACAAAAGACACAAGAAAGTGGAGGTGAAGCATCATAATGATTAATCAATAATCGATACAGGTTCATTATTTGTAGTAACCGTACTGTTAATGGTGAATGTGTTTATGCAGGAGGACAGAGAGGAGGAGGAGGAGGAAGAGGAGTCTTTCTACCTGTCTACAGCTGGTCTGAGATCAGCCTTCAGCACTGAGGTGAGATACATTTAAAATCACATTAATTACAGATTAATTATTGATTACCTGGTGAAATGAATTGATAAGTTGTTTAATTTATGTTTAAACACACAAACAAAAATAGTTACTTTTACAGAAATGTAGGAAAATATATTCATTCATTTATTAATGTCTTCATATATTTCAGGTTTAAAACCTTTTCTATTTCCAGAGACCACATACACCAATGTGAAAGGATTCAGTCCCAAAGAGTCTTATCAATAATCAAATACTGTCTCTTTCCTTGTTCACTTCAAACTTCCAAAAGTTAAAATATTTTATCTGGGGACTCTTTTTGGCCCCCGGACCACAGTTTGAAAACCACTGAATTAGGCAACAGGCATAGCCATGTAGCTAACTGTGTGTTTTCAGGAGGAGAGGTGGACGGTTGAGCTTGAGAGAGAAAAACTGAGACAACAAGAGGACCGACTGAAGGTAAACTATTTTATTATTAATAAACAATAATTCAGATTTATAATCAGATTAAACAGAAATAATCACAGATTGATTATTGCAGAGATCTTTAATGAGCAGTTGTAATAAAGGATATTGGAACATCTGTAGTGAACACATTGATCAGCTGTACACACTGAATGCTCACAGTAACCATGACGACTGCATCCAAACTAGTGAAATGATGCCCTCAAATACTCACGTTGCAACCAACGTTAGTATCTGAGTTAGTAAGGAACAGTTATTGATCCTGTAGCTTCACACACACACAGATACAGTACAGACTCACTGAGAGGAGCTTTAATGTGTGCACTGTGAGTGAAAGCTCACTGACTGTTTGTCGTCTGCTGTTCAGGCTCGTCTGCGCTGCACTTTGTGGACTCGGCAGGAGACTCTGGAGGAGAGACGACTGGAGACTGAGGACAGTGTACTGGGACTGAAACACAGACTGGACCAGCTGGACTCACTGCTCACACACTGATGTACACAGAAACAACCCTGAACTACATTCACTCGCTGTTCTGGAGCTTTAATGGTTATATACAACATTCTGACACTAGATGTCGCTCTACAGCTCCAGCATCTCAGAACAAAGCAGCCCACCGGACTCCATTTACAAAACCACTGATTTCACTCAGATCATCATAAGTTCATTAAAGTGAACAGAAACAGAATAAAACCATGTGACTGTAGCTTTACTTCTTTAAACTGACAGCTGCTGGGAAACCACTGTGATACAGCTCCAAACACTTTCTGCTCTCACTCTCAACCTTATTCATCTTCAATTATGCAACAGCCAATCAGAGTGCCAGCTCTACCTATAATCAATATATGGATCTATTGGTTGCAGCTGATCACTAATGTTAGTTTGTGAACTATAAACACTGAACGCTGGTTTTATGAGTCAGAAACTCCCACATGACCTGAATGCAGCATCAGTCTTTACAGTAACTGATTACTTTCTCCAGTAACTAGTAATGTAACTGATTACTGTTGTAGCCCCACACTGATTAGCATTAGCATACGTGGAGCATAAACCAGGTGTGTCTGTGAGAAGCTCGTGGTGCCTTCAGGTCAACATGTGAAACAGATTTTACAGCTTTGTTGTATTTGATGATTTTTATCTTTAAATAAAGTCTTTGTGATAAAACTGTTTGACTCATTCATAATGATATTCCAGCAGCCCTCAGTTCTGTCTGACAGGAGCAGCTCCGTTACAGTCCAGGTGTTCCAGGTGTGCAGCATCACCTCTCTGTCGTCATGGTTACTGTTGCTAGGCAACTGAGCACCTCAGAGCTGCAGCAGCTGCTGTCGACCTGCTGGAGGAGAGGCTGACAGACAGACAGGCAGACAGACAGACAGGCAGGCAGACAGACAGTTAGTGACAGTCTAACTGCGGTCCAGGTGAGACTGTCGGCAGGTAAACTCACCTGGACGTTCCCGTGTGAGACGGCATCCAGCAGTTTGATGCAGAGAGACGTCTCACTCATCAGCGTCTGTCTGACAGAGTCACCAAGCTCAGAGTCTGCAGAGACAGACAGCAGCAACTTCAACAGGCAACGCAGCAACACGTCAACACGGCACGCCATCCTGAGAGAGAGACAGAGGGAGAGGAGAGACAGACAGGGAGAGAGACAGACAGGGAGAGAGACAGGGAGAGAGAGAGAGACAGGGAGAGGAGGGACAGGCAGGCAGAGAGACAGAGAGAGAGAGAGACAGACAGGTGAAACCAGCTGCAGTTCCTGTGTTTGTCCTCCAGAGGTCAGAGTTGAAACATTGATGAACTCTGATCAACAATAAAACAGACACCACCTGTGTGTGTGTGTTTGTGTGTGTGTGTGTGTGTGTTGTGGTAAATGTACAAAGGTTTCTAACAGTATTCTGCCCTCTAAAAGCAGAATACACTCACTGTGTCAGTGTGTCAGTGTTCATTCAGCCTGCAGTTACTGCACCACCTATATATCTGTTAATGTGAGCTAACCGGGGCCAGGTCGCTCTGATGCTCTTCTGCAGCCCCTCCAGGATCTTCAGTCGACTCGTCTCTTCGGGCGGATCTCGAACCTCCAGGTATCCCAGCACCACCCGCTCCAGCCGCCGCAGGTGTCTGCACACCGCCACGCCCATCCTGACCGCACACAAAACAAACGCAACCTGAGACACCTCGAACCCCACCCGCCCGCCGTCAGCAGCAGTGAACATCGAGCGCTCCTACCTCTCGACGTACGCCGGCAGAGCCGAGGCGTAGACGCGCCGCAGCGCCACCTTGTGCTCCGCCTCCATGTGCGTCAGGACCAGACGCAGCACGTCGTCATGGCGACAGGGCTTCCTGCGGGAGGAGGAGGGGCCGAGCGAGGAGGGGGGCTTCTCCAAAACCACCAACAGGTCCAGCAGACAGCAGAGGACCGGCTGCAGACGGAAATATTAAAGTTCAACAAACATAAACACATTTTATTGTTTATTGATCCGACAGATATTGACAGTTTTACATCCTCGGTTGGTCGAATCATTCTCATTATTTATTATCAATATGCAGAAATGTGGACATTCATTTGTTAAATATAATGAATAAATAAATATTTAACAGAACCCTTTTTAACCATCAGTCTGACGTCACTTCCTGTTTCCTGTATGTGTCACAGTGTTTACCGCCCTGTTTTTAAGTCTCGCTGTAAGAGCTGAATCAGTGGACAACCTGAGCGACCTCAGATCT